TAAACTTGTTTCTTTTTGCTTCGTTTTGGTTGACAATGAAAATCTTTATAAAATAAATTTTCTATTAAATTTCAAATATTCCCATCTGTTCGATTTCACAAAGTTTAAGTAAGAAACTAAAAGCAACTTAGAGATGCTGTAGATGCTTGTATGAATGAGGCTTATGAATGGTACATAGAGAAAAATACATTTTCGAATTGAATACTATTAAAATCTGGGGTGACCCTTTCATCAAACCGAACCAAGCATAGCTTTTCAATCTTAAAAATATTTTCACACACACCCCAAAATCTGTACTGCAGCATTACGATGGCACATAATAAATTTTTGCATCTATTTATGAGCATATTTTCTGCTCTGACACACACACACACACACACACACACACACACACACACACACACACAAATTGAGGTCCTTTATTGCTTGTCGTTAGCACATTTCGCATATTAATTATCCTTTTGTGTACGGAAATGTTTGTGATGTGTGTTTTTCAAATGGTCATTTCAATTATGTCTCGGGAACCTTTCCCGACGTTTAATTTTATGCGCCGGATTTTGCTGTTTGGCTTTGGTTTTGAGTTATTAAATGTGTGTTAATGATTCTGGGGTTGTGCTCAGATAATGGATTTTTCTTCTAACACTACTCCTGCCAAAGCCAAGAAAACCCACAAAAATTCCAAACAAGAGGCAAAGAATAAAAATCTCTTTAAGTGTGTGACTTTATTCATAAGTTGTTGAAAATTAGTTTTTCCGGTTTACTGATATTTAATTAAAGTTGTCAAAAAATTCCTATTGTAGGATTTTATGGAGTTATAAATTCTTAAAATTACTAAAACTTACTGGCCAATACATTTGCTCGATTTTATTTTTTTAATTTATGTTACCTGAAAGAAAGAAAAGAAAAGGGTTACATGTTAGTGATATGTTGACAGGAATGAAACTTTATGAATTAAAAATAGATTATTAATTAAAATTACGCTATAAAGAAATACTAAAATTTAAATATTATACTATATCAGTTTCTGCAGAATATTTAATATTAAATATATTAAATTAAATATTAATTAAAATAAATAACATAACATAAACATAAAAGTCTAGTACGGCTTTGGGTCATTTGATTAAGGTGCGCTGACTGTGAGCTTCAAATTTGGCAGGACACGAGTTCGATTCCTGGTAATTGCAGTCTCAAAATAAGGCCACTGATAATGGGTATTTGGCAATACTCGAAAAAGGTGTATGGTCAGCCAAGAATTCAATTAATTAAAATAATATAAAAATAAATTTTTGTTGTTGTAGTTCACTACTGTTCGAATATTAAATGCTAAAATAAATATCAGTTTTTGCAGAATATTTGAGAATAAATAAATTGCCTATTAATATTCTTAATTACAGAATCGTTGTGCTACTGTAAAGAGCATAATTAATATTACTTTTCTTGAATATAAATTTATACCACTCTTACGAATTGAACTCAATTTTTGAAAGCAGTTATGTACTCCTTTTTTCCCTTACATTATAGAAATCTTAATATCCTGAAAAGTCTTATGTTCTTCGTAAGTGTACAAGTGTAAGCGATTTACCTCAAGCCCAACCACAAAAACTGCGTTTGACATACAAACTTTTTAAAACTTCAGAGCTGAGTTTTTATGAGTAGTAGGAGAAGAATTTTTGACATATGCTTCCGCGTTGAAAGCTGTCAACGCGCAAATGATAATTGACACGAATAACAAAAAGCGCAGAATTTTTGAAACATCCTAGGATGAGTGTTCCCAGGCAGAACTACATTTATTAGTATGTGCTAATGGTTTACCAACAGACTACTTCGTGTCTCAGTAGTCAATTACTAAAAAAAAAAAGCAAAAATCAGCAGCAATGCTTTCTTAATAAGCTCGAAGTACTTCAGTTGTCAAAGTCAATCAAAGTTTGCTACTTACGTACTATAAATTGGGTACATTACCACCGTTAACGATAAGGCTCGCACTCTTGGCAATACCATCTCTTGCACTGACTAACTGACTAACTGACTGACTGACTGACGTCGGTAAAAAATTTGAAATTAGGTTATATTGCATTTTAACGCCACCGCACGTAATTTAAATGGCATTGTAATAAAATAGTATCCAGATACTTCAAAGGATTTACTTAAAACATAAATTTTACTTAAATTATATATTTGCAAAGTAAATTTGCTGCTGTGCAGTAGCACATAGTGCACACTTGTATCACACCCAATACAATTTGGCTATAACTGTGGGCAGGCGGCACCGCACCACTGTTACGTGGAGTGGTGAGAACCCCTACCGCATCTACTAAATTTACTCGTAAATGTACATTTTTATCTGGGAAATTTTCCACTTACTTTAGCATGTTTGAAATTTAAAACTATTTTGCATCAGCGCCACCAACACACAGACATCGCCACCAACATCCTTGTACATCCTTACCCTACGTCTGTTACCCACAATAACAGACGTACGTAGACGTAAGCGTTGCATTGAAGTGAAATAAATTTTTGAGTAAGAAAAACTTAAAAAGCTTTAGGGAATTTCAACGGAAAAAGGATATTTAGCTTAAGTTGATATGCTGATGTTACGTATACTCGTATGCAGCATCCTTTTTTCGTTACATGATTGTGTGTAAGTGGCTGTGTATGCTTGTTTGATTTATGGTAGCGTAGGATTAAATTGCCTTGGCAGAAAATGGCAGCAATAGTAGGAGCACAGCAGAAAAAAATATCAAAACTGGTAAGTAAAATAATACTAAGAAAAATGAAAATATTAAAGAAAAAATATTTTAAAATTTAGTACTTAAAGAACCCTGAAAGATGACACAAATGTTACTAGAAACTTAACAGCAGCAAAGAGAAATAATGTTCAAAGTATTGCAACTAATAAAAGTTTTAGAAAGCATTATTTTCTAGAAGAACCCAGCAAAAATATGGCAAATAAAAATTTTGTTTTTATTCGTCGTTTGGAAGAATTCGGCTTAAAATTTCTTCTGTGCCAGAAAAAAAATGTTTACTACTTTTACTAGTTTTTTAGCTAAAACTGGGAAAGAATGTGGATATGGAATTAGGATAGACGGCAGTAATAAAATGTAATTGGAAAAATTTTACGTTTGCGGGAAGACGTTAAATTTCTTCATTGCAGTATTATTTTCTTATGCTTAACGACGGTATTTTTACAAAATTTAACAAACTCTATTTATATGGCATATATGGTAAATAATATTAGTAAACTTACTTTCCTCCATAACAGTTCTATTTTATAATTAAATAATAATGGAATCGTTATAGTCAAGAAAAGATGGTATAATTGGATCACAATAATATTTTTAAAGTAATTTTTAATTTTTAGTAGAGAAATTTTCCTTAAAGAGATGAAGAATGTTGCGAAACATTTAGATATAATCAGACAAATAAAAAATTTAATAAATCGTGTACTAATTATCATGTTCATATGATAGTCTTTTTATATAAGTTTTTGGTACACTCAAAAAAATAATTTAATTGATTTAATTGGATTTTAACTAAATCTTAGGTCAAAATATTCCTACTCGACGCATCATGTTGGTACCACCATAGGTACCACATGTTGGTTTTCATAACTACTTTATCACATGAGTTAAAATTTCTCTAACAAAATGATCAGGTCAATTTAACTAGTATGTGGTTAGTGTATACTGTTCTAAGTGAACTAATACGAATTAATTATAAATAAATTAAAAAAGTTAAACTTAATACCAGTTGTTTTATGATATGAAAAATTATTTTATATCATATAATTCTTTTTCGCTTTTTTTTATTATTTAATATTATTTTTAATTAAATGATAAATAATTTCGAAACTATTTTTTTATAGAGTTTACTATTGGATAATAAAATATTTTTGCTAAATTGAGATACGAAGCTGACTAACGCTACGAGCTATCCAATAAAAAAAATTTCACTGTATGGTAATATTCAACCATTTATATATATCCTATATAATATCTATAAATATACTAGCATTAGTATGTATATAGAGACATGCACATATTAATACATTCTTTTAGACAAATATATTTGTTTGAAATATATCATAGTCAACGTAAAATATTTATATTTATATACTTACTATATATGATTCTGTTCAGTAAAATATTTTTCTTTAATATGATTCATAAAGTAGAATATTTTCAGTTTATCACCTTTGTTCCTCAGAATTAATTAGCATATTACCAAGTATATTGCACACAAGATAGTTGTATATGATATATATAAATATTTATATTTTCTTACTAAACGAATATAAATTTTTTGAATATATTTGTTTTTCAATGTAATTATGTTTACTTGAACTGGCAAATATTTATTGTCATACAAAAAATAAAATAGAGTTTGAATTAGTTTTGAATATAAATTTAATTAAATCAAACGAGTATGTTTTGTATGCTCATGTGTTGAAGCAGATCTAAGTGAAAAGGTTGTCCTTTTTCATTTTGTTTTTATTCCTGAAAGCCATTTTCAATTTGCTAAAATATTTAAAAAAAAAATATAAATAAAAATGAAATGAAAGGTTCGCAGTGAAAGAGAAACTTCTAAAATTCTGTAAGTACTCAACAATCATCATCATTAGCTTTGCAGTAGACTAAATGCATCATGTGAAGTGGCACAACTCTGCCAGGAGATACTAAACAAAATAAGGATAAAATAATATAAAGTAAAATAAAAAAATCAAACAAAATAAACTACAAACAAAAAAATTAAATAAAATAAAATAACATATAAGAGTTCAAAACAACCAAAATTTATAAATTTATTCCAGTTTCGAAGCATGCACTACGTGTACATATGGAAAACATACCTAAATTAATGTCTGTCCCTAAATGTAAAAAGCTTTTCTGCTATGCATTGAGTTGGTTTTAGTTAAAAGTACCGAAAAAAAACAATATTAAAAAAAATAATAATGAGAAAAAGAAAAATAGATCAACAATAGCTGTGGCAGGACATACGAAATGCCTGAGGCGCTACAATTTCAGGTAAGCCACTTACATTTTTCTCCAACTCTTCGAAGTATTGCCATATAATAAAAGACAGTAAATAGTTTTACAATATATAAGCATAAATACTGAAAGTAACTCGAAAAAGTTGAGGAAAAATTTTGAAATTGGGAAAGTTTTAATAACTTAATTTAAACACCAATATACAATTTAAATTCTTTTTTTTGGAAGATTACGATAGATGTAGGTATTGGTAATATCAATAATTTTTAAGAAGGCTACGAAGGAAATCTCAGAGAGCTAACAAAAAAATGTGCCTCTAATAGAAAATTCATAGTCACTACTAGAGTCACAATATAGGCAATATTAGATTGGAAAGCTGGTTAATACGTACAATTACGGATTAGGGTCATTTGTACAGCTACTGCAAGGTGTCCCTCTTCAGTAGAACAAAGCTGAAAGCGTTGACGAGTTATCTAATGGGTTATTATTGTGTCAAAAAAATAGGTCTGTCCGAGTAAACAAATACTAAAAGTACTGGGATTTTTAGAAACGTATCTAGAATAACTTTTCAGTCGTTCACATATATTAAGTACCTACTATATATTTGGTAACTTTTAAAGATAAATAGTATTGTATCTTTCACATAATATTTACAGTAATTTTATTTATTTTTTTTTATGAATTTATTAAAAAATAAAATATAAAAATATATAATATAAAACACATAATGATATTGGCTTAATTGCCCAATGGACTCGATGGAGCCACGAATTCCACTTACCTATGTATTTTTCAGCAAGAGTTTATAGAGGATTTTTTTAATGAAAGATACAGAATAAAATATAAAAATTTAAAATATGTGTTGAAGTTTTTATATGAACTTGTTACAGGTTAATCCCTTTGTTATACTTTTCGGCTATTAACCTGTATCCAAATAAGAGAATATAGTGTCTTTTTTTGTCTGCTATGAAGTAGTCCTTTGATTTTGCTGTTTGTTTTTGATTTTTATATTTTATAACTTTTCTTTTTTTTTTTTGTAATTAACTTGTATTTGTAAAAAAACTGAACAAAAACACTATATTTGTCTGACAGATAAGAAGTAATTCGGAAAGATTTTAGTCAATTTTTTTTGCTTTTTACTTTTTAAAAATTTTTCCTTTTTTTTTTAGTTACTCTAAAGTACTTTACTTGTTTATTTTGAAAACCTTTTAATGCAAAATTGCTAACTAAAAGGAAAAAATAATTTCAAAGCTTTTAGCTTTATTCTCTAATTGAACAAAATGTCCTGAAACTAGTATAAAAATATGTGAATAATACGAAAAACTGGAGTTTTGATTAAAAAAGGAGATGAGATGAGAAATCAGTGACATATTTCTGAGAAGAATAGTCGTCATAAAACTACCGGAATTAGAGCATATCGAGTAATGTGTAATAAAGGTACAACTTAATTACTCTATGACAAGCAGACGAAAAAAATAGTTTTATATATTAAAGTTAACAAGACATTCTAAGGAAGGGTCGGTCCTCGTTCTAAGGGCTTGCAAAACTATTCCATTCATATTTATACAGTAAAAGTTCTATTAAATGGTTATCTCTTTCAACTGAGTAATGTTTCGAATTTTCGTATCTATTTTTCATTCAAAGTGCGCTCTTTTAAATGGATAATAATTTGAATTGCACGGAATTTTTGGTGCAATTGGTGTATCCGTTTAAACCTACCAATAAAACCATCAAACTTGGCTGCCCCGAATTAGTTTCTGCTTGGTTTGCCTCTACTTTTTGATTAATTTTGCTAAATATTGATAAATCAAAGCAAACATAATTTACTTCTTGTAAATTTTTTTAACACATATGGTGGTATAATGTCTCTGAATCCACTTATATATAAAAGTGAGCAAAACTCTATACGATATTACAAAACTTATATAAAATGCTTATTATGAAGTGTTTATTTTTAAAACTATTCGAGTCATTAAACCCTTAAGTTCATTTGCCTTTGCTTCATATAGGCGCAATCGTCATATCAGTTTACAGTCATTGTATTTCTTTTAAACCAAGATGTACTCAAAACAATAGCTCCATAAAGGCCAGTGACATTATGAAGCTAATATCTAAAGTAAAGTTCTATTCTTTTTCTAAATATTAATTTGTATTGACAGTCTTTGTATCCCCATTAGAATTATTACAAAAACCATTAATAATAGAAAAAAATTTTCTTTACTTTGTAGCGAAAGCAATACAGGATAAAGGATAATAAAAATATTTTTAGTTACTTAGACGACATATTTTTTTTGAATCAACTTGAAAGCTTTTAAGTAAAAACGTTTCACAAGAAGAAAGAAAGAAAAAAGTGATAATAAATAAATATTTTTTATTAATTATAGCTGCAGCCTGCTTGAATATAAAAATCATCGTCTTTATCGCTCATACGCCAGGAGGAGTTATCCTTTTATAGACATATCTCTACTGTTGGTTCTTCTTTTCTTTTTTGTTTTTTGTTTTTGTTTGATTAATATTTTTATAATACTTTTTCTTTTTTGTTGGAAATTTTCTAGTTAAGCTGTTGTCATTAGTTTTATGCGGCTAATTAAAAAGTTGAGCTATTTTCCGAGCCATGTTGTTTCCATTACCTGCCACCAAAGAGCAGCAACAAGTTAATTACGAAACAAAGTGGACTTAACGCTTTTATGGCTGCATGCAAAGTTGCATACAAGCTTATTAGCAATTTTTCCCTGCTACACTGTTTTCTTTGCAGTATTTTTCGTGGCCTTTTTATGAAGTCGCAACCCTCGTATTTAAGCGTTCAGGAGTGGGAAAATATAGTGAACGGCAAACCGGGGCAAAGTCATTATATTTTTTAATAATAATCCCACTTCAGCAACGCTTTTAAAATTGGCTTTAATAAGTTGGCAACATGCGTAAAGCTATTCAGCGACATAAATGCACCGTAATTCATTGGAAAAAAATGTATTTTAATTATGGAATAAAAGACTATAGCATAATATAAAGGATTTTGCATTATCCTTATAAGCGCTGAATATATACGACAGGTTAAAGCTTAACAATAGGTAAAAAGTTCGAGTTGTTGGCACCTTTATCTCTAAGTTAAACAAAGGAACGAAGGAGAGATATAACTACAATATAAAATTAATAACAAATGCTTTGTTAGATTATTTTTCTTTTCTAACTACTGATGTACTTTAGCAAAAAGATGCAGTCTCTAGTTAACTAGCAACTTCTTTTATAGTTAATAATGTTGACTGCTAATTGTTGCACTTTTTTCAAAAACTTTGCACTTTAAAAGAAGTTGCTTAAGTGATGAAAAGTATAAGTGCGTGCCAGAGTGACAAAATTAATTTATTTCAACTATAATCGAGATATTATGTACAGTGAAAACTTTGTTAAATGAACGATACCATAAGTGCACATCTTTCTCAACTATGTATTCTGAAGGGGCTACATATCACGAAAGTCTCCTTAAGCTAACACTGTTGCAGCCAGTTATTTAGACAAGTTTAGAAAACTGTTAGGTTAGATTAGGAGTAGCAGCCTTTTGTCCAAAGACCACAAAGAACAACGTTGTAGCCAGCTATTCACACAACTTTAGAGAAGTGTTAGATTAGGTTAGGAGTTGCGGCGTTATATCCAAAGCCCATTTGATATGTATTGTGAGAACTCAATTTAGCTTTATGTCCAAAGGCCACAAAGAACACCGTTGTAGTCAACTATTCAAACAAGTTTACAGAACTGGTAGATTAGGCTAGCAGTTGCCGCTTTATACCTAAAGCCCACTTGACGAAATGTTTTATGAGAAATCTATTAAGCGAATATCGAAGGGCCCAACAAAGAGAACTAAAAAGAAACTAGTGTCTGTAAAAGTAGTGCCATATTGCAAGGTTAGGATAGTTATTTTTTAAAATGAGCGAACGACCGTTTAGCAAGGCTTTCACTGTACTTTATATGAAAAATAAAAACTGGAGACTAACCGTATGACGGTTTTAAGATATCTTTTTCATGTAGGACATATTTTAATATATTTAATCTAGCAAAAGGTGCAATTGTATTATTAATTTCATTTAAATTCTACCACAAGTAAGTAACCATAACAAAATAATTAAATAAAATCCATACTTATTGGTGGTGGTTAAATCCCTAAAGTTTTATAAAAATTGTAGAATGAGACCAATTCTATGTAGTCTACGTAACTTCCTATATACTTTGAAATAACAGGAGGTGCTAGGTTGTGTACAATATTTATTTAATTGTATATACGACAAACATAATCGCATTGCACACAACAAATGGGACATAATATATTTTTTTTCCATTTATTTACGTATTTATAGTCTAACAACCCCTAAACACTTTAAGGGTTTCTTTTAAGCTTTTTCAACAATTGCGCCTTTATAGGCTTCCCCTACAATTTCAAACAAATGAATCTTTAGCAGTGAAGATTACATATGCAATTTACTTTGTTTTCTCTGTTAAAAATTTATTTCTACTGCTCTATTTTTATATACGAGTCCACACAAACCTATAGATACACACATTGGTGTATGTATGTGATTGTATCTGTGAGTAGTGGGGGGTTACATTTTTCTTTTCTTTATCACTTAAGTATTTGTTGACTTGTTATTTTATGCAGAGCCTCTATTAATATAGACTAAAATACAATAAACCAGCTAGAAATGCCAAGCAAAATAATACCAAAACCAACAACAACAACAACACTGAAGTGACAAGCAGCAAAGAAAGGGTACGTGACTTTTTGTGGTTTGTATGGATTTGTTTTGTCGTATCTTAGTTTTGAAATAGAAGTAAAGCACTTTCAACATAAATAAAATCAAAATACGTGGCTAATATAGTGACACACAAAGATATACTTTGTAGATGCTTATGTGTGTATATGTATAAAGACACAAAAAATATATATATGTAGAGAAAATTATATATGTTTGCGGTCGTAGATATTATGACCTTGAGTAAATGATGCTTCTCAACATATTAAGTCCTTCTTGTTTGTAGTGCTTTTATTA